TCGACGCAGATGCCCTTCCTGCCGCTCAAGCTGGAGCAGGCCGGGCTGGCGAGGTTTTTCGGCGACGGCGTGTATTCGGGCGACATGGTCGAAAACGGCAAGCCAGCGCCCGACCTGTTCGCTTATGCCGCTGAAAAGATGGGCTACGCCGCCGAGGCGTGCATCACCGTCGAGGACAGCGCCAACGGGGTGCGCGGCGCCAAGGCCGCCGGCCAGTTCGTGATCGGCTTCACCGGCGGCGGGCACTGGACTGACAAGAGCGGCGCGGCACTCAGCGACGCCGGCGCCGACCATGTGGTCACCAGCCATGCGGAACTGGCCGACTGGCTCGCCGCCAACACCGGCGCGATGCGCGCCTGAACGCCAGATCGCCTGCCCCTCGCAGCAGCCCGACCGAGAGTGCTTTGTGAGCCGTTCCGGCTCGCCGCAGCGGCCAATACTATCGGGTACATTTGGAGCTCAGGAGCATCGAGCACCGGGAAGGGCTATTTGAATTAAATCAAAAAGCCCGAGAAAGCTGCGTAGTCGCACCGGCACTGACAAGCGCATCCGAGGCGACTGGCTCCAACAACTGATCACGCAAATCCCGTTTGAATTTGCATTATTTCTGAAATGCGCTCTAATACTTTATCTTTTTGTTTTATGTTTAGGGGCGCGTGATGAGAATTTTTCGTAGTCTGGCCACTGTATACGGCACACTTGGTCTGATGGCGGTAGCCACTGCCCCGGTCGGAGCTGAGGAATCTAAGGCGATATGCCAGATCACCGCGGGTTCTTCGTCGCACAGCAAATTCGCGGTGCTGAAATGCGCGAAGGAATCCTCTCCGCGCAACTTCATTATTCGCAATACCATTTTTGAGCGCGATGACCGCGACGGGTATCGCGATCTTGCTCGCTTCGCCGGCCGATCGTTCAACTGCACACTGACACGGGCCGGCACATCATCCCGCGGCGGCACTGCGTACACTCACTACACGGTCAGCGAATGTAGATAGAGAACAACCAGTGTGCGCAAGGATCGATGGCTGCAAATCACGCCTCGCAAGCGCGATCTTTCCTGAGGCGCGCGTGAACATCTGGTCATGGATTCGTTCAAGCGGCGTGCTTGTTCAATGTGCTCCCCGAGGGCCCGTCCATCTCGATCAGCGTTGATCGCAGTGATGGACCGCCCGACGGCGCCGTCGGCCTGGACGCCAGATCGCCTGTCCTTCGCCTCGACCTGAGCGACGGTTAGGTCAAGGCAAGACCGTTAGCCGCCCCGGCGGCTTTTGGCGAAGACGCCGACCCTGATCATCACTTCACGCGGGATCTTGTAGGTGCCGGTCAGATGATGATCGGAGCGCAGGCCGAGAAAGTCGCGCTGGATGAACAGCGCCCAGGCGCAATCCGCCGCCTCCTGCACCAGTTCGTCGCGGTCGCGATTGGCTCCTGGCGTCGCATCGTGGCGTTCGAGCGCGGCGAGCGCCGCCTCCAGTTTCCTTCCGGCACGGCCGAGCGCAGCCGCCGTTTCGGCGGCGGCTTCATGGGCAAAGGCGTCAAGGGTTGCCTGGCCGTTGGCCAACCTGCGCAATTGCGGCGGCTTGAGCATCGCATCCTTTCCGGCGTGTCGTGCCGGACATAGCGGCACAGGAACCCGCGTCGAGGCAAGAAAAAACCCGCCGGTCGCAACGACCGGCGGGCTGTCTGATGGAGACAGTCAGAGGCGCTTACTTGTCGCCATCGTCCTGCTTCTTGAGGGCGGCTCCGAGAATGTCGCCCAGCGAAGCGCCCGAGTCGGTCGAACCGAACTGGGCAACCGCTTCCTTCTCCTCGGCGATTTCCAGCGCCTTGATGGAGAGCGAGAGGCGGCGGTCCTTCTTGTTGAACTGGGTAACACGCGCATCGACCCGCTGGCCGACCGAGAAGCGCTCGGGGCGCTGCTCGTCACGGTCACGCGACAGGTCCGAACGGCGTATGAAGGCGTCAAGATCGTGGTCGACCAGCTTCACCTCGATGCCGCCATCGTTCACCGCGGTGACTTCGCAGGTGACGACGGCGTTCTTGCGCAGCGCGCCGGACGAAGCCGCATCGCCAACCGCATCGCCGGTCAACTGCTTGATGCCCAGCGAAATGCGCTCCTTGTCGACGTCGACGTCGAGCACGACGGCCTTGACCACATCGCCCTTGTTGTAATCCTCGATGGCGTCCTCACCGGACCGGTTCCAGTCGAGGTCCGACAGGTGGACCATGCCGTCGACATCGCCTTCCAGGCCGATGAACAGACCGAACTCGGTCTTGTTCTTGACCTCGCCCTCGACGACCTGGCCGACCGGGAAGTGCTGTTCGAACTCTTCCCAGGGGTTGTTGAGCGTCTGCTTGAGGCCAAGCGAGATGCGGCGCTTGTCCGGATCGACCTCCAGCACCACCACTTCGACTTCCTGACTGGTCGACAGGATCTTGCCGGGATGGACGTTCTTTTTGGTCCAGCTCATTTCCGAGACGTGGATCAGGCCTTCGATGCCCGGCTCGACCTCGACGAACGCACCATAGTCGGTGATGTTGGTCACGCGGCCGGTGATCTTCTTGCCGATCGGGTATTTGGTGCCGATGCCGTCCCACGGGTCCGCCTCGAGCTGCTTCATGCCGAGCGAGATACGGTGCGTTTCCTGGTTGATGCGGACGATCTGGATCTTGACCGTCTGGCCGATCTGCAGGATCTCGGTCGGGTGGTTGACGCGGCGCCATGCCATGTCGGTGACATGCAGCAGGCCGTCAATGCCGCCCAGATCGACGAATGCGCCGTAGTCGGTGATGTTCTTGACGACACCCTCGACCACCTGGCCTTCTTCGAGGTTCTGGACGATTTCCGAACGCTGCTCGGCCCGGCTTTCCTCCAGAACCGTGCGGCGCGAGACAACGATGTTGCCGCGGCGCTTGTCCATCTTGAGGATTTCGAAGGGCTGCGGCGTATGCATCAGCGGAGTGACATCGCGGATCGGCCGGATATCGACCTGCGAACGCGGCAGGAAGGCAACGGCGCCGTCCAGATCGACGGTGAAGCCGCCCTTGACCTGGTTGAAGATCTGGCCTTCGACGCGCTCGCCGGCCTCGAACTTGGCCTCGAGCTTGACCCAGGCTTCCTCGCGGCGGGCCTTGTCGCGCGACAGGACCGCTTCGCCAAGCGCGTTCTCGACGCGCTCGACATAGACCTCGACGGTATCGCCGACATTGAGCGTGCCGTCCTTGGCTTTCGCTCCGAATTCCTTGAGTGCGATGCGGCCTTCAACCTTCAGGCCGACATCGACAATGGCCATGTCCTTTTCGATGGCCGTCACCGTGCCGTTGACGACACGGCCCTCGATCGTATCCTGATCGGCGAACGAGGCTTCGAGGAGGCTCGCAAAGTCCTCCCGCGTGGGGTTCAGTTCTGACATTTATGCTCCTGATGCGCGGGCGGCATCGATCTGGTCATCGCCTCGCGCGGGCGCCGGGGTTTGTGTTTGTCTGCCAACAACGATCCGGCCCTTGAAGGGCGGTCCGGCGCGGGATCGATGCTGGACGGTTCAGTTGCGTTCAAGTGCCCGGTCGATTTTGGCACGGGCGGCCTGAAACGCCGTCTCTATAGTCATATCGGACGTGTCAAGCAAGTGGGCGTCGATCGCGGGCCGCAACGGCGAATCGGCGCGGCCCATGTCGCGCGCGTCGCGCCGTTCGATATCGGCAAGGATTGCTGCCTCGTCCGCAACGCCGCCACCGGCCAATATCTCGTGATAGCGGCGTTTCGCGCGAACTTCCGGGCTCGCGGTGACATAGAGCTTGGCCGTCGCGTCGGGGCACACGACGGTGCCAATGTCCCGCCCGTCGAGTACGGCGCCGGGCGGCGTTTCGGCGAAGCGGCGCTGTCGTTCCACCAGAGCCCGGCGCACCGCCGGCATCACGGCCACCTTCGATGCCTCCTCGCCGACGGCGTGCGCGGCCAGGACAGTGCGATCCATGGCCGAAAGGTCGAGCCGCTCGGCTGCGGCAACCGCTTCAGCCTCATCGTCGAGCGGCTTTCCGGTGGCGACGAGCGCATGGGCAACGGCGCGATAGGTCAGGCCGGTGTCGAGGTGCCGCAGGCCGTAATGGGCCGCGATGCGGCGCGCGAGCGTGCCCTTGCCCGATGCCGCCGGACCGTCGATCGCGATGACCGGTATCATGCTCTGTCCTCCTGCGTGCGGGTATCGGCAGGCGCGCGAATATCCGTCTGACCCGTCACGGCCAGCGACCAGCGGCGATCGGTGGCGGCGATGTCGATCACGGCGCCGAACCGGACGAAGATTTCGGCCAATCCCGCAGGGTTGCGGGGCAGATGCCCGACCCGGGTGATGCCGGGCGTGCCGAGCGCGGTGAGCATGATGGCGGCAACCGCGGCATCGCTCCAGCCGCCGGCGTCGTGAATGGCGGGATTGGCTGTCGCCTGTCCCGCAAAGACGATTGCGCCGTCGCCTTCCGCCTCGGCCTGAATGCCCATCGCCGCGAATGCGGCAAGCAGCGATGCAACGGCATCGCCATTCAGGCCAACGGCGCATTGGACGCGTGTTGCCATGTCATGGGGCGCAACCAAGCCTGCCACGAGCAACGCGTCTTCGGGCGAATTCAGTGCCAGCGGCGCCCCAGGTTGCAGCAGGCAGCCATTGCCGGCGCCCGCGATCATTGTCGCGCCGTTCCGGCCAGCACGAATCCGCGCTCCCAGAGCATTCATGGCGCCGAGCAAGGGCGCCGTCTCGCCTCCGGGCGCCGCATCGCAAACGGTCTCGCCGGCGGCGAGACCGGCAAGGATGATGGCAAGGTGCGTTCCGGATGCGATCATGGTTCCATCGGGTGTCGGACGGGCAGGCATGCGTCCGGGCGCATACGCCAGCCGGTCAGGCCGGTCAAATCGGCTTGACCGCGGGCCGTTGCCGCATAGAAGGCGAGCCGTCTCCGCAGCGCCCGAACCAAGGCCAGAAATGGCTTTGACAGGGTAGGTCATTGCCGTTATGGACCGGTCCACCCTGAACACCTTGCGGGATAGATGCGCAAAGGCCGTTTGCGTTTCCCATACATGTCTTGATGAGGCCCTGCCGTGGCAAAACCTGACCTTGGAACCAAGCGCGTGTGCCCCGAGACGGGCCGCAAGTTCTACGATCTGAACAAGGACCCGATCGTCTCTCCCTATACGGGCAAGTCCTACCCGCTCTCCTTCTTCGAGGATGATGGCGCCGACGTCGTCGAGGCCAAGCCCGAAAAGGTCAAAGAGGACGTCGCGGAGACAACCGAGGAAGAGACCGAGACCGAGGGCCCGGAAGTGCTGTCGCTCGAGGATGCCGACGAGGAAAACGCCGAGGAAGGCGACGACAATCTGCCGGACCTTGGCGACAATACCGACGACGAAGTCCTGGACGATGACGAGGAAGAAGACGACACGTTTCTTCCCAGCGACGATGAAGACGAGGACGATGTCAGCGGCATCGTCGAAATCAATCCGGACGAAGACGACTGATCGTCCGCTGCGGCACAAAAGACCTTGATTAGGCGCCGGTGAGATTGTATCGAGCGCCGGTTCGCTCAAGCGGACCATCCTTTACGGGGCCATAGCTCAGCTGGGAGAGCGCTTGCATGGCATGCAAGAGGTCAGGGGTTCGATTCCCCTTGGCTCCACCAATTTTTTTGCGGGTTGCCGCCCGCCAACCCAACCCGCCGGTTCGAGGATTATCCTCTCACCTCCACCATTTTCCTGATCAATCGAGCGTGCGGGTCGGGCTCAGCGCGCGCGGGTCGGTGACGATCTCGATCAGGCTGGCGCCCTTGTGTCCGAGAGCGCGGTGCATCGCCGGCGCGAACTGGCCGGTTTCGGCGACGCGTTCGGCTTCAAGACCATAGGCGCGTGCAAGCGCGACGAAATCGGGATTGTCCAGGGACGTGCCCGAGATGCGGCCCGGATAGTGCATCTCCTGATGCATGCGGATCGTGCCATACATGGAATTGTTGACGACCAGAACGATGATGCCGAGCCTTTCCTGCGCCACCGTCCCCAACTCCTGGACGGTCATTTGCAGGCATCCGTCGCCGGCCAGCGCGACCACCGGCCTGCCGGGTTCGGCGAGCTTGGCGGCGACCGCGGCCGGCAAGCCATAGCCCATCGACCCCGAGGTCGGCGCGACCTGCGTGCGGTAACGCCGGTGGCGGTAGAAGCGATGCAGCCAGGCGGCATAGTTGCCGGCCCCATTGGTCAGGATCGCATCGTCGGCCAAATTCTCGCGGAGCCAGATGATCGCTTCGCCCAGATTGAACGTGCCGGGCATGGCGGTGGCGTGGTCGGTCCAGCCCCGATAGGCGGTGTTGAGTTGGGCGGTCCATTTTGCCCAAACGGGATCGCGCGGCGCCTCAAGCGCTTCGACGGCGGCGAGGAACGCGCCGACCGAAGCGGCGATCGGCAGGGCCGGCTGGAACACATGGCCCAACTCGTCCGGCTCGGGATGGATGTGAACAAGCGTCTGGCGCGGCACCGGTGTCTCGAACAGCGTGTAGCCGGACGTGGTGCAGTCGCCCAGCCGCGCGCCGAGCGCTATGACCAGATCGCTGTTGCGGATCGCATCGGCCAGCGCCGGATTGATGCCAAGACCGGCATCGCCCGCATAGTTGGCATGGGTGTTGGGGAACCGGTCCTGCGCCCGGAACGCGCAGGAAACGGGCAAAGACCAGCGCTCGGCGAATGCGACGAAACGGTCGACCAGTTCGGCGTCCCAGCCCGGCCCGCTGGCAATGACCAGCGGCCGTTCGGCCGCGTGAAGCATGTCGCCAAGGCGCCTGATTGCCTCGGGGTCGGGGTGAGCGCTCACCGGTTGCGATGCCGGTGCAGCGGCCACATCGGCCGTGCCGGACAGGACGTCCTCGGGCAGCGCCAAAACGACCGGGCCGGGCCGGCCGGATTGCGCGATGGAAAAGGCTCGCGCGAGATACTCCGGCAGCCGTTCGGTCGAACCCACCTGCGCCGCCCATTTGACCTGATCGCCAAACATCGCCTTGACGTCGACTTCCTGGAACGCCTCGCGATCCATGTCGCCGCGCGCCACCTGACCCATCAGCACGATCATCGGCGTTGAATCCTGCGCAGCGACATGCACGCCCGCATAGGCATTGGCCGCGCCCGGCCCGCGCGTCACCAGACAGATGCCGGGCCGGCCGGTCAGCTTGGCGTGCGCATCGGCCATCATCGCCGCCCCACCCTCCTGGCGGGCGATGGTCAACCGGATTTGCGGCGCATCGCGCAGCGCATCGAGCACCGGCAGGTAGCTCTCGCCGGGCACGCCAAAAACTTGCGTGACGCCGTTCTCGACCAGAGCGTCGACGACGAGCTGTCCGCCGGATTTGGCCATGTCCCGATCCCGATCCTATGCCGTTGCGGCGGATGGTGTGTGCGCTCAGCCGGGATTCGTCAAGGCCGGGCGCAGCCGTGCAACGGCGCTCGACAGGCGCGCACGGACCAGATCGGCCAGCGCGTCGCCCGCGATGGCGAGCGGGCCGCTATTGTCGATGGTCACCGCCGTATCGGCGCCGCGATAGGCGGGCACGGAGCGGCGGAGACGGCCGGCGATCTGCTCTGCCGTTTCGCGCCCGCGCGCGGCAAGGCGCGCTGCGATCACCTCGGGGTCGGCGACGATCTCGACCACCTGGACGTGCGGAAACCGGTCAAACAGCCGGTCGAGCGCCTGGCGCGATCCGTTGACGATGGCAACGCCGCCGGTCTCGACATGGTCGAGAACCGCCGTCGGGATGCCGTAATGCAGGCCGTGCGCCTGCCATTCGGCACAGAAGGCGCCTTCAGCCAGCAGCCGGCGAAACTGGTCTTCGGTGACCGGCTCATGGTTTTCGCCCCGGCTGTCGGCGGGACGGCTGATGACGCGGCGCACGAACAGGACACGGTGGTCGCAGGCCAGCGCGGCGCGCGCATGGTTGATGACACTGTCCTTGCCGACGCCGCTGCGCCCGACGACAGCAAAGAGCATGCCGGTCGCAGGATCGACGCCGCCCATCAGGCCACCCGGCGCCCCTCGCGCCAGACCTGGCGGACGACCGGAATCGTGTCCTGACGGCCCACACGCACCAGATCGGCGCGCAGGCCGGGCGCCAGCCGGCCCCGGTCTTCGAGCCCCACCTGACGTGCCGGATTGGCCGTCACCATGGCGATCGCGTCCGGCAGGTCGATATGGTCGATCTCCTCGGCCAGAACGAACGGCGCGTAGATCAGCGAGAACGGCACATAGTCGGACGACAGCACGTCGAGAACGCCTTCGCGCGCCAGTTCACGTGCGGCGATGTTGCCCGAGTGCGACTTGCCGCGCACCACGTTGGGCGCCCCCATAAGGACCCCCATGCCGGCGTCGTGGCTCGCCTTGGCCGCGGTCATCGATGTCGGGAACTCGGCGACGGTGACGTTGAACTGCTTGGCTTCCTCGACATGATCGAGCGTCGCATCGTCATGGCTGGCAATGGCAATGCCGCGTGCCGCGCAGATCGCGGCCAGCGCGTGCCGGTGCTTGTCCGAATAGATCGCCGACTGCATCTGCCGGCGTTCGACAAAGGCGCGGAACTCCTCGTCGGACAGGCCGCGCTTGGTCTTGTAGTAGAGCTCGTACTGGTCAAGCGTCTGGAACTGACGCTGGCCGGGCGCGTGATCCATCAGCGAGATCAAGCCGACGGCCTCATCGTCCTCGAATTCGGAAAAATGGTCCATCACGTCGGCGGCGGACACCTCGCAGCGCAAATGGATGCGGTGCTCGGCGCGCAACCGGCCCTCGCGCTGCGCCTCCTGGATGGCGCCTGACATGGCCCGCATCTCGCCTTTTTCGAAGCCGCCATCCTCGTCGGAACCCAGCCGCAGGCAATCGAACACGGTGGTGATGCCGGAAGCCGCGATCTGCGAATCATGGGCCTGAATGGCGGCGGTCAGCGGCCAGCGAACGCCGGGACGCGGCGCGAAATGCTGCTCGAGATGGTCGGTGTGCAGCTCGATCAGCCCGGGGACGACATAGTCGCCATCCATGTCCTCGCCATGGGCCACGGCGCCGGCATCGATGTCGGTGATCACGCCATCTTCGATGACGATCGTGCCGTGCAGGACCTGATCTTCAAGAACGAGGTTGGCGTTGGTCAGAACGGTTTGCGGCGTCATCGGATGCGCTTCTCTTTGTCGGGGAATCGGCGCATTGGCGCCGGCCTTCCTATGGTCCGTCTTTATGACGTTTGCGTGACCGTCTCAACGCAGACACGCGGCGATCAAGCCGTCAGCCCGCCTGGCGGCCGACCAGCCGTGCCCGCAAGGCGCCGGAGACGTTGTCGAAGATGAAGACGACGATCAGGATCAGGATGACCATGTAGAAGACGTTTTCCCAGTCCTGATTGGTGCGCATGGCTTCCCAGAGCTTGAGGCCGATGCCGCCGGCCCCGACAGCGCCGATGATCGTCGCAGACCGCGTGTTGGACTCCCAGAAATAGAGCGCCTGGCTGGCAAAGATGGGCAGCACCTGCGGCACCACGCCGAAACGCTGGACAGCCGCCGGGCCCGCGCCGACCGAGCGGACGCCTTCGCGCTGCTTGTCGTCGATGTTTTCGAGCGCTTCGGAATAGAGTTTGCCGAGTGTGCCCGTGTCGGTGAAAAAGATCGCCGAGATGCCGGCCAGCGGTCCCGGCCCGAAGGCACGGGTGAAGAACAGGGCCCAGATCAGCATGTCGACCGAGCGCAGGAAGTCGAAGAAGCGTTTGAGGATCTGGTTGACGAAACGGTTCGGCGTGATGTTGCGGGCGGCGGCAAAGGACAGCGGAAAGGCGATGAAGACCGCAAAGAGCGTGCCGACGAAGGCCATCACGATGGTCTGCAGCAGTTTGATCCAGACATCGCCGTGCTGCCATTCGGCGTTGTAGACGATGTTCTGCCACATGATGCCGAAATTGGACCGCCCCTCCTCGATCGGCGGGCCGAACGCCTTGCCCATGACCTCGCCGAAGCCCAGGCCCCAATAGGGCGAGGCGGGATCGAAGACGAAATTCTCCCAGCCCAGGAAGCGGCGATTGACCTTGACCTCGCGGTGACGGATTTCTGCACGCCCGTAAAAGCCGAAGTCGATGAAGACCTTGGCGCCCGGCGCGCGCTGGCTTGCCCACTCTGGCAGCGGCCCCTGCGGCAGGACCTGCTCGTTCTCCCGGTCGATCAGAACGTCAAGCGTGCCATTGTAGCGGGTAACGATGACGCGGTCGGGGGTCACGTCGATGGTGCCGCGCTCATAGATGGTCACCAGAGCGCGCGCGACGCCCTGCCGCGTTTCCGTGACGACCGCCTCGTCCGCCGCCGGCGCCGCGCCGCCAAGGGCATTGTCTTCGGCCGTCAATGTCGCATCGGAATTGGGCGACATGAACGACAAGCCCTCGTCGGCCGGCGTTGCCGCCGCATCGCCATCAAGCGCGTTGTCCTCGGCGGTCAGCGTCGCATCGGAGTTGGGCGACATGAAAGAGCCCGACGCCGGTGCGGCCGATGCCGAATTGTCCGTCGGGCGGTCGACGATAACTGTGACGGTGCCCTGTTCCGTCTCGATCCAGTCGGGATCGGGGTTCTCGCCGAGCGGCGAAAAGCGCGGGAACGTCACCTCGATCTCGCCGTCGCGATATTCGATGTCCGGCCGCACCTCATAGGACACCCAGTCGGCCAGATAGGTGCCGGCAATGTTCCAGTTGCCGTTGGCAAAGACCTGGCCGATCGAGAAGAACCAGAAGGCGTAGATGCAGTAGGCGGTCACCGCGGCGACGGCCAGCGGCGCGGCGAAACGCTTGTGGAAGGGCCGCCGGAACACGTCGGGCTGGCGAGCCATGATCTCGTCGATCCGGGCGGCGGAAAGCGGTTGGGCGGACATGGTCATGGCATCATCTCCCCTAAGCGCCGAACTGGAAGGCCTGGTCGCCGACGATCTTGCGGCGCAGCCAGGCCGAAAGCTGATCGACGGCGACGATGGTGACGAAAAGAAGGAGTATGATCGCCAGCGTCTTGGCCTCGTGGCCGCGGCTGATCGACAGGCGCAGCACCTCGCCAATGCCGCCCGCGCCCACCGCACCGATGATGGTGGAGGCGCGCACATTGATCTCAAGCCGCAGCAGCGTGTAGCTGAGGAAGTTCGGCATGATCTGCGGCACGATGCCGAACCAGACGCGTTCGGTCCAGTTGGCGCCGACCGCCCGCAGGCCCTCATCGGGTTTCATGTCGGCGTTTTCGACCACCTCGAAGAACATCTTGCCCAGCGCGCCGATCGTGTGGATCGACACGGCGATGATCGCCGACACCGGGCCAAGCGAGAAGATGGCAAGGAAGAAGCCGGCGATGACGATCTCCGGGAAGGCGCGCAGGAACTCCATGAAGCGGCGCACGACAAAGCGCAGCCAGCGGGTCGTGGTCAGGTTGGTGGCGGCCAGAAAGCAGAGAAGGAAGCCGAAGATGAAGCCGATCAGGGTCGACAGGATGGCGATGTTGAGCGTCTCGACCATCTTGTGGATGTATTCGGGGACGTACCAGGTGCCCCAGAAATAGACGCGGCCATCGGGATAATCATATTTGAACGAGCCGTCATAATAGGGGCTCTCAAGATCGAACAGCGCCCGCCACACCTCCCAGCCGTCGCGCGGGATCATGCCGCCGGCAAAGTCGAAGAAGTGCGGCAGCCGGTCGAAGAACTTGCCTGCATTGGTCTGGTTGGCGAACCATAGCGACGCGAACAGCGCAACGAACAGGATGCCCAGGCTCAACGCCGTGTAGAGACGGCGCTGGCGGACGAGATCGCGCCAGTGGCGATCGACATCGTATTGCCCGTTTCGGACATACGCGTCGGGATCGTGCAAGTCTGTCGATGCCATGGGAAAAGGTCCGCCAGATGATGACGCGCCGCGCCCCTTTCGGAACGCGGCGCGGCATGGTGTCGATCAGGCTCAGGAGCCGATCTTGGACTTACGGGCGGCGACGATGGTCTCGTAGAACGAGTGGTCCACGTCGATGAAGCCGGCGAAATCGCCGCCCTGGACCGAGCGGAAGCAGTCCGGATGGTTTTCGGGCATGGCCTTGAAGAACTCGATGAACCTGGCGCGCACGTCCTGATCGAGCTGGTTGGAGACGACGATCGGGCCGTTCGGGATCAGCGGCGAGCGCCACACTTCGTTGACCTCGTCCATGTCCAGAAGGCCCTTGTCGACCATCTTGCGGATGTTGCCCGAGGTGTAGCCGTCGGCGAACTCGCCAACGCCCGACGACCAGGTCACCTGAACGTCGAAATTGCCCTTCAGCATTTCGAGAACGCCATTCTCATGGCCGCCGCCGAAGCCGGTTTCGGAGAAGTATTCGTCGATCGGCATGCCGAGCTGTGCCGGCAGGGCGACGGACGGAACGAGGAAGCCGGAGGTGGAGTCCGGGTCGGCAAAGCCGAGCCGCTTGCCCCGTGCGTCCTCGATCGACTCGATGCCCGAATCCTTGCGGGCCAGCATGATCGAATAATAGCCGGTGGCGCCATCCACCTGCTGGGTGGTCAGGACCGGGTCAACGGCTTCGGGGTCTTCGAGATAGACCTTGGCATAGGCGGAGGCGCCCAGTTCGGCATAGTCGAGCGTGCCGCCAAGCAGGCCCTGGACGACGCCGTCATAGTCGGCGGCGGGGAAAAGCTGAACTTCCTTGACGCCGATGGCTTCGGGCAGAAGGTCGATCAGGCACTGGTTGTTGCGCAGGCGGTCGGCTTCGTTTTCACCGCCCAGAATGCCGACGCGGAACACGTCCTGTGCATGGGCACCGGTGGCAACGAGAGCGACGGCAGCGGTCGCGAGCAGGGTCTTCTTCAGCATGTTTGGTCTCCCGGAAGTGGCATGAAGATCGGGCATGGCCCGGTTGGCCGTGTTGAAACAAAAAAACCGCCCGTCCGGCCCGGCGAGCGGCTAAACCTGTCAGGCGCCAACCAGCGCCGGTTCCTTGGTTTCCTTGGCGCGTGCGGGCCTTGCCGGCGCGAGGCTGGTCGAGGTGACGGCTTCGGAGAACGCATCCTCGAGCCCGTCCGCGCCATAGATCGACCGGGCGGCGGCCTCTGTCAGATCGTCCGGTCCGCCATCGAACACGACCTTGCCGGCCTGCATGCCGATGATGCGCTCGCAGAAGGTGCGGGCGGTGTCGAGCGTGTGCAGATTGGTGACGACGGTGATGCCGTCATTGCGGTTGATGTCGCGCAGCGACTGCATGACGATCTGAGCGTTGCGCGGATCGAGCGACGCGATCGGCTCGTCGGCGAGAATGACCTTGGGCTGCTGCATCAGGGCGCGCGCGATCGCGACCCGCTGTTGCTGGCCGCCCGACAGCGTCCCGGCGCGCTGCATCGCGGCGCGCTCGATGCCCAGCCGTTCGAGCGCCGCGATCGCCATGGCGCGTTCCTGATCGGAGAAGATGTTCAACAGGCTTGCCACCGACGAGCGGTGGTTGAGCCGCCCGAGCATCACATTGGTCAGAACGTCGAGACGCGGCACCAGATTGAACTGCTGGAAGATCATGGCGCAGTCGCGCTGCCAGTTGCGCAGCTTCTGCCCGCGCAGCGCCGACACGTTCGTGCCGGAGAAGACGATCTTGCCCTCGGTCGTGTCGATCAGCCGGTTGATCATCCGCAGCAGCGTCGACTTGCCCGCGCCAGAGGCGCCGATAACGCCCACCATCTGCCCTTCGGGAATGCCGATCGTCACATTGTCGACGGCGACATTGGTCCCGAAACGACGGGTGACCTGGCTGACTTCGAGCATTCGCAAAGGACCTTTTCGCAACCGCACACGTTTCGCGGCCTATCGGCCCGATGTGAATGTCCAATGTCAGTTCGGTGTCAGTTGTGTAACAGTCCACAGCCCCGAACCCGGCTTGTCAGCCGCCATGTCTGGCGAGAAAGGCCTCGGCCTCAAGCGTCCGGAAATCGTCGAGTGCGCCGCGCAGATCGGCATGGCTCCAGTCCCACCAGGCCAGTTTCTCCATGCGTTCGGCGATGTTCGGGGTGAACCGGTCGCGGATCGGCCGGGCGGGCACACCGCCGACGATGGCGTAGGATGCAACGTCTTTGGTGACCACCGCGCCGGAGCCGACGACGGCGCCGTTGCCGACCGTGACGCCGGGCAAAATGATCGCGCCGTGGCCGATCCAGACATCGTGGCCGATCACGACACGGTGGTCGCGGCGCCAGGCGAAGAACTCGGGTTCGTTGTCGGCGTCGTCGAAATAGTCGCCCGCCCGGTAGGTGAAATGGTGCTGGGTCGCCCGCCAGGTCGGATGGTTGGTGGCGTTGATGCGCACATGACTGGCGATGTTGGCGAACTTGCCGATGGTTGCGCACCAGGCCTCGGTCTGGCGGATCAGATAGGAATAGTCGCCGATCTCGCACTCGGTGACGACGCAACCCTCGTCGATCTCGGTGTAGCGGCCAAGCGTCGAGCCGGTGACGCGCGCTGTTGCATGGACCATCGGCTGTTCGGACAGTTTGGGCATTGGCTCAGGCGGCCTTTTGCGGGGCAAAGCCGGTGACGTCGATGATCCGGTCCGCCACCGCCTCGCGCAGGTCGGCGTCGTGGAAGATGCCGAGGAGAGCGACGCCGTCGGCCTTCTTCTCACCGATCATCGCAACGACGACGGCGCGGTTGGCGGCGTCGAGCGATGCAGTCGGCTCGTCCAGCAGGAGGATCGGATGGTCGGTGATGAAGCCGCGGGCGATGTTGACCCGCTGCTGCTCGCCGCCCGAGAAGGTGGCCGGCGGCAAGTCCCACAGCTTTTCGGGCAGATTGAGGCGGGCAAACAGGTCCGCGGCGCGGCGGCGCGCCGTATCGGGATCGGCGCCGCGCTGCACCAGCGGTTCGGCGGCGACATCGAGCGCGGAAACGCGCGGCACTGCGCGCAGGAACTGGCTGACATAGCCGATCGTGTCGCGCCGCACGGCCATCACCTGACGCGGCTCGGCCCGCGCGAGGTCGATCAGCGTGCCATTGTGGCGGATCAGGATCTGGCCGACATCGACGGCATAGTTGCCATAGAGCATCTTCAGGATGGACGACTTGCCGACGCCGGACGGCCCGCTCAGCACCGCGCACTGGCCGGTCTCGATCGAGAAATGCACCGCGTCGACCACCGGAATGCGGACGCCGCCGCGCAGATGCATGGTGAAGCTCTTGGAGACACCGGAAACGATCAGGGGAACGGCCATCGCATCATGCCTGCAGGATCGAGGAAACGAGAAGCTGGGTGTAGGGCGCGCGCGGATCGTCGAGCACGCGGTCGGTCAGGCCGGTCTCGATGACCCGGCCGTCCTTCATGACGACCATGCGGTGCGACAGGAGCCGCGCGACGGCCAGATCGTGGGTGACGACGACGACCGCCAGACCCAGATCGGTGACAAGCCCGCGCAACAGGTCGAGAAGGCGCGCCTGCACCGACACGTCGAGGCCGCCGGTCGGCTCGTCCATGAAGACAAGGCGCGGACCCGTGACCAGATTGCGCGCGATCTGAAGGCGCTGGCGCATCCCGCCCGAAAAGGCGCGCGGCTGGTCGTCGATCCGATCCTCGGCAATTTCGACGCGGCCGAGCCAGTCGCCGGCGGTGGCGCGGATGTCGCCATAATGCCGGGCACCGGTCGCCATCAGCCGCTCTCCGACATTGGCGCCCGCCGACACGGTCATGCGCAGGCCGTCCGCGGGGTTCTGGTGGACAAAGCCCCAGTCGGTGCGCATCAGGAAACGCCGTTCCGCTTCGCCCATCCGGTAGAGATCGCGGATGTGGCCGTCGCGCATGCGGTAGGTCACCGTGCCCGTCGTCGGCATCAGCCGTGTCGAGATGCAGTTGAGCAGGGTCGTCTTGCCCGATCCGCTCTCGCCGACCACCGCCAGAACCTCGCCCGGCCAGATGTCGATGCTGACATCCTCGCAGCCGATGCGGCTGCCATAGAATTTCGACACGCCGCTGGCGGACAGAAGCGGTTTGTCTTCATCGAAGGCCGGCAAGCCCTTACCCTGCGCTTGTTGAAGGGGCGGGTTTGCGGTTTCACCTCGTCCATTGGCCGGCTCAGGGTAAGGTGAAACACTGTCGCCTTGTGTCATCATGTTGCCGCTCCTTCACTTGCCATCGAGCCTTTGTGGCCGGCGGCACGGCGCTTTTCGCAATGGTCGGTGTCCGAGCACACGAACATGCGCCCGCCGCGATCGTCGAGAACCACCTCGTCGAGATAGACGCCTTCGGCGCCGCACAGGACGCAGGGCTGGTCGAACCGGTTCACCTCGAACGGGAAATCCTCGAAATCGAGACTGACGACGCTTGTGTAAGGCGGCACCGCATAGATGCGCTTTTCGCGTCCGGCGCCAAAGAGCTGCAGCGCTTCGGACTGGTCCATCTTGGGATTGTCGAACTTGGGCGTCGGCGACGGGTCCATCACATAGCGGCCCTCGATCTTGACCGGATAGGCATAGGTGGTCGCGATGTGGCCGTTGCGCGCGATGTCCTCATAGAGCTTGACGTGCATGAGCCCGTAATCCTCAAGCGCGTGCATCTTGCGCGTCTCGGTCTCGCGCGGTTCCAGAAAGCGCAAGGGCTCGGGGATCGGCACCTGATAGACAAGGATTTGTCCTTCGACGAGCTTCTCCTCGGGAATGCGGTGGCGCGTCTGGATGATGGTCGCGTCGGCGGTGCTGGTCGTGGTGTTGACCTCGGCGACCTTGGCGAAAAAGGCACGGATCGAGACCGCGTTTGTCGTGTCGTCGGCGCCCTGGTCGATGACCTTGAGCGTGTCGTCAGGGCCGATGATCGAGGCGGTGACCTGCACGCCGCCCGTGCCCCAGCCATAGGGCATCGGCATCTCGCGCGAGGCGAACGGCACCTGATAGCCGGGAATGGCGATCGCCTTGAGGATCGCCCGGCGGATCATCCGCTTGGTCTGTTCGTCCAGATAGGCGAAATTGTAGGTGGCGAGTTCGGCGGGTTGTGTGGTCATTCAGCGGCCCTTCTTCCCTTCGCGTAGCGCGCCAGACGTTCGGCCAGCGTACCCGTATGAAGCTCGAACATGTGGTCGTCCTCGTCGTAGAAGTAGATTGAGCGGCCTTCGCCGGGAACGCGGGGGCGCGGCGGCTTCATGTCGAGGCCCAGTCGGCGGACGCGCTCCACGCAGGCATCGAAATCGGCCTCGTCAATCTTGAAGGCGACATGGTCGTAGCTGCGCTCGCACCGGCGCTCGCCCTCCATGATCGCGATCCAGACGCCTCCGGCCAGAAAGAACTTCTCGCGCGACAGCGAGAACGTTTCCTCGCCGCTTGCGTAGACCTCTTCGGCGCCCAGCACCTCGACGAGGATGCGCGTCATCCGTTCGAGATCGGAGACGATGAAGGTCACATGAGACAGCCCCTCGATCATTCGGCTGCCTCCGCTGCGGTTTCGCCCGCATCGCGCCGGCTCTCATGTTCGACGCGCATGGTGCGGACCAGCTCCAGTTCGGCCTGGAAGTCGACATAATGCGGCAGTTTGAGATGCTCGACGAAGCCCGAGGCCTGGACGTTGTCGCAGTGGGAGATGACGAACTCCTCGTCCTGGGCCGGCGCGACGATGTCCTCGCCCAGTTCGCGCGCCCGCATGGCGCGGTCGCACAGGGCCATGGCCATCGCCTTGCGCTCGGACTGGCCGAAGACGAGGCCGTAGCCGCGCGTGAACTGCGGCGGCGCCTTGGACGAGCCCTTGAACTGGTTGATCATCTGGCATTCGGTGAGCTGGACGCGCCCGATGGTCACCGCAAAGCCGAGCTCGGGCATATCGACAGCCACCTCCACTTCGCCGATGCGGATCTCGCCGGCGAACGGGTGAGAGCGCGCATAGCCGCGCTGGGTGGAATAGGCGAGCGCCAGCAGGAACCCCTCATCGCCGCGCGAGAGGGATTGCAGGCGCGTGTCGCGCTGCATCGGAAATTCCATCGGTTCGCGGGTGATGTCGCCGGGCATCTCCGTTGCCGCATCGCCGTCGCCCTCGATCAGCCCGTCCTCGGCCAGAATGTCCGAGACGCGCATGGCGCGGGCCGGTTCGCCCTGGCGGCGCGCGGCATCCGGCACTTCGGCATCGCCGGCAAGCTCAGGGTCGAGAAGCCGGTGGGTGTAATCGAAGGTCGGCCCGAGCATCTGGCCGCCCGGCAGGTCCTTGTAGGTCGCCGAGATGCGCCGTTCGATGTGCATCGCGCCGGTGTCGACCGGCTCGGAATAGCCGAAACGCGGCAGCGTGGTGCGATAGGCGCGCACCAGGAAGATCGCCTCGATCATGTCGCCGCGCGCCTGCTTGACCGCCAGCGCGGCCAGGTCGCGGTCATAGAGCGCGCCCTCGCTCATCACCCGGTCGACAGCGAGCGCCAACTGGCCTGCGATCTGCGCCAGCGTCAGCGCCGGAACGGACCGGTCGCCGCGCCGGCGATCGGCGAGCAGCCGGTGCGCATTGCGGATCGCCTTTTCGCCGCCTTTGACCGCCACATACATGTCAGTGCTCCGTCGCCTGGATGCGCGTCGTGCGCGGCAGCGCGGCGACCGCGCCGGGCGTGGCCAGCACCATGTCGATGCCGCGCGGGAACAGCGCATGGTTGTCGGCCCAAAGGGCCGCAAACCGTGCCGGAAGCCCGCTCGGCGCCAGCGTTGCGCTCTGTTCGATGCCCGGCCCGGTCAGCGTCAGCGCCGGGCCGCCCGTCAGCTCCGGCACCTGGACGATCAGCGTCGCCGACCGGTCCGGGTATTCCTGCGTACCGCGGGCAAAACGGTCGAACGAGCCGAGCGACGGGCCGTAGCCGATCAGCGCAAAGGCGGCCTCGGCGGGATCGTCCGTGACCGGTGCGCCGGCGTGAAAGCCGAGCCAGCGCGCCACGGCACCGTCCGTTGCCAATGCCGCATCGAGCCAGACCGGCGTGTTGGCATCGCACAAGGTGAGCGCGGCGGCGGCGGCGACCGGGCCCAGCGGCGGCGGGGCGGAAGCGCGATGGCCGACGGCCTGCACTGTGCCGGGCCGGGCCATGGCGTCCATGAGCGCGCGGAAGACCGATTGGGCATCGAAGACGGGCGAGCCAAAGCCGCCGGTGACCATTGTGTCCGGGGATTGCATCGCCATCAGTCGTCGCCCCGCACCATGGTGAAAAAGTCCACCTTGGTCGCCGCGGTTTCGGCGGCGCGAGCGGCATCGCGCGCTGCGATCGCCGCTTCGAGTGGCGCTATGACGGCCTCGTCGAGCCGGGCGGCCATGATGTCGTCTTGGGCCAGCGCATCGATGACGGCGGCAAGCTTGGCCTTGGCCTTGTCGCGGCCGAGCGCCATGGCATGACCCGTCGCGCCGTCGGAAAGACGGACCGTGGCGCGGGTTGCCGTCGCCTCGCCCAGATTGAACGCCGCGCCACCGCCGCCCATGCGGCCGCGCAGCGCCACCAGTCCGATTTCAGGCCCGCGCACCAGTTCGCATTCGGGATCGATGCCAAGGCCGTTCCAGCATTCGGCCAGCAGCGCAGCGTCGCCCTGGGCGAGGACGGACAGGCGATGCCGGCGCGCCCGGGCGCGGTCGTCGGTGGGCTCGGATACAGGCATCAGTGTCTCCAAATTTGTCTATTGTTATAGCAACTAGATAAGATATTGTCACGCCTAGGCGTCCGCTGTGACAGAGTTATGACAAGGCCGGAAAATGACGGGGCAACCCGACCGAATCGAACGCCAATCGGGCATCGCCATGTGGCGGCAGATCGCCGATGCCATCCGCGCCGGGCTGTCGGGGCCGCTCGTCGATGCGGACGGAAAACTGCCGCCGGAAAAGGTGCTGGCCGAACGGTTCGGCGTCAACCGCCACACGGTACGCGCGGCGATAAGGGCGCTGGCGCATGAAGGGGCCGTCCAAAGCCATCAGGGGCGCGGCACCTTCGTGCGGCGCAAGCCGCGGCTGACCTATCCAATCGGCCGGCGCACGCGCTTTTCGGAAGGGCTGGAGGGCCAGGCGGCGAACCGCGGCGCCGAACTGATTGCCCACCGGAAGGAGAGCGCCCCGGCCGACATCGCCCGTGCGCTCGATATCGCAACGGGCGCACCGGTCATCCGCCTTGAAAGCCTTGGTCTTGCGGACGGCATGCCGGTGTCGCGCGCGACATCGTGGTTCGACGCAGGCCGTTTCGGCGCGATCGCCGACATCTTTGCCCGGTCCCGGTCGGTGACCCGCGCTTTGGCGCAACTGGGCGTGACCGATTATGTGCGGGCATGGACGCGGATCGAGGCCCGGCACGGCGCAGCCGACGATCTCGACCATCTGCGTCTGTCGCCGGGCGCGATCGTGCTGGTTGCCGAGGCGGTCAATGCCGACATGGACGGACGGCCCGTCCAATATTCGCTGTCCCGCTTTGCCGCCGACCGGGTGAGCCTTCAGGTCGACGGCGGCTGACCCCTACCTGCCGATCATCCAGTCGGTCAGCCAGCGCATGCGGCGGCCGGAGGGGCGAATGATGGTGTCGCGCAGGATCGGCCATTGCGGCAGGACAAGCACCGAGCGCGCATGGGTGAATTCGGCAAAGCCTCGCTTGCCGTGATAGGCGCCATAGCCGGACGTGCCGACCCCGCCGAATGGCAGATGCTCGACCGCAAGGTGAACGATGGCGCCATTGACGACGGCGCCGCCCGATGTGGTGCGGGCCACAAGTTTTTCCGCTGCGCGCGCATCGCGCCCGAAGGCATAAAGCGCGAGCGGATGATCGCGTGCCGCGATAAAACGCACCGCATCGTCCAGATCGTCATATTCAAGGATCGGCAGGATCGGCCCGAAAATTTCTTCCGTCATCAGCCGGCTGTCCGGCGCCGGGCCGATAACGACGGTCGGCGGGATGCGGCGGGCTTCCGGCGCCGCGTCACCGGCGCTCAGCACGGTCAGGCCGGCGTCCCGCGCTGCTTCGATCATCGCGGCCAGGCGGTCATGATGCCTTTCGGTGATGATCGATGTGTATCCGTCTCCAGTCGCCGGATCGGGATGGGCGCGCCTTGCCGCGGCGATGATCGCCTCTCCGAATGCCGCCGCCTGCCCCGTGGGGACGAACAGATAGTCGGGCGCAACGCAGGTCTGGCCGGCACTGTAGAACTTGCCGAAGGCGACGAGCGGCGTGTGCTTTTCCGGATCGGCGTCCGGCATCATCACGCAGGGGCTCTTTCCGCCAAGTTCCAACGTCACGGGCGTCAGGTTTTCCGCCGCCGCCATGGCGATCTTCCGGCCGACCGCGGTCGAGCCGGTGAAAAAGAGATGGTCGAAGGGCAGTTCGGAAAAGGTTTTGCCGATTTCGGGCCCGCCGGTCACCACAGCCACCTCGTCCTCTCCATAGACATCGGCGAACAGCCGCGCCAGAAGGTCTGCGGTGCGCGGCGTGAATTCCGATGGCTTGATCAGCACCCTGTTGCCCCCGGCGAGCGCTGTGGCCGCCGGTATGACGGCAAGCTGAAACGGATAGTTCCAGGGCGAAATCACACCGACGACGCCCTTGGGTTCGTGGCGCACATAGGTGCGGCCCGGAATCGGAATGCCCAGATTGAACATGCGGGTCGGGTTCGCCCAGCGGTCCAGGTGGCGGCAGGTGTGCTCGATGCTGCCTATCGTCACGGCAACTTCCGCCGACAGGGTCTCGTCGGCCGACCGGTTGCCGAAGTCGTCGCTGATCGCGTCGACGATCTCCGACCGGCGGGCGCGGATGGCACGGAGCAGATCGCGCAGCTTCATGCGCCGCGCGCTGATACCGGGCACCGAATCGAACGAAAAGGCCGACCGCTGCACGTCGAAGGCCGCCTGAAGACGGTCGTTATCCGGTTTTTGGGGTGCGTTCATGACGGCAATATAAGCGTGCGACCGCGCTTCGTCATCGGGCCCGTCATGCATACTTGACGGCGCGGGCGCGGACGCAGCACGGTGCCGCTGCGGGCGCCGGACAACGGAGGAAATGCGGCCAATGGAAATGCTGACCCCCACGGCGGCCTGGGCCGCGGACGAACACCGCATGTTCACCGACGCGGTGCGGCGCTTTTTCGCCGACGAGCTGGTGCCCAACATGGAGCGCTGGACCGAACAGGGCGTCGTCGAACGCGGCTTCTGGGAGAAGGCCGGAGCGCACGGGATCATGGGTGGCGCGGTGCCCGAAACCTATGGCGGCGCCGGCGGCGGCCTGGCGTTCGATGCGATCACGCTCTACGAACAGGGCAGGGTCGGCGATGCCGGCTGGGGCTTCGGCATCCAGTCGATCGTCATCCATTATCTGCTCGCCTATGGCAGCGAGGAGCAGAAGCAGCGCTGGGTGCCGGGCCTTGTCAGCGGCGACAAGGTGGCGGCGCTTGCCATGACCGAACCGGGCACGGGCTCGGACCTTCAGGCGATCCGCGCCTTCGCCGAGAAGGACGGCAACCAGTACAGCCTGAACGGCTCGAAGATCTTCATCACCAACGGCCAGACGGCCGACCTGATCGTCGTCGCCGCCAAGACCGACAAGAGCGAAGGCGCCAGGGGCATGTCGCTGATCGTGCTCGAAACCGAGGGCGCGGAGGGGTTCCGGCGCGGCAAAAACCTCAAGAAGCTAGGCATGAAGGCCAACGACACGTCGGAGCTGTTCTTCGAGGATGTGAAGATCCCGCGCACCAACCTTCTGGGCGCCGAAGAGGGCCAGGGCTTCTATCAGTTGATGAAGCAATTGCCGTGGGAGCGGCTGGTGATCGCGCTGACGGCGCTGGGCTATATCGACTATGCGCTTTCGGAGACCATCGGATACGTGCAGGAGCGCAAGGCATTCGGCCAGCGCATCATGGATTTCCAGAACACCCGGTTCAAGCTCGCCGAGATGAAGACGAAGGCGGAGATGCTGCGCGCCTTCGTCAATGACTGCATCGTCAAGGCCGAGGCCGGCACGCTCGATCCGGCCACCGCGTCCATGGCCAAATATTGGGGCAGCGAGGTGCAGAACGAGGTGATGCACGAGTGCCTGCAACTCTTTGGCGGCTATGGCTACATGATGGAATATCCGATCGCCCGGCTCTATGCCGATGCGCGCGTGCAGATGATCTATGGCGGCTCGAACGAGATCATGAAGGAGCTGATCGCCCGGTCGATCGACGTCTGAGGGGTCGCGTCAGACCGGATCGTGCACGATCAGCGTGCCGGCGCCATGCTCGGTGAAGAGTTCGAGCAGCACCGCATGCGGCGTCTTGCCGTTGAGGATCACGACGCCCTTGACGCCGCGGGTCAGCGCCGCGATGCAGGTCTCGACCTTGGGGATCATGCCGCCCGAAATCGTGCCGTCGGCGATCAGGTCGCGCGCCTGACTGACTGTCAGTTCCTTGATCAGCGTGCCGTTCGTGTCGAGGACGCCCGGCACGTCCGTCAGGAACAGGAGCCGCTGCGCGGCCACGGCGCCGGCAATGGCGCCCGAGAACGTGTCGGCATTGATGTTGTAGGTGTGGCCGTCCCGGCCCGGCGCGACCGGCGCGATCACCGGGATCATGCGCGAGGTGGCCAACTGGTCGAGCAGCGTGCGGTCCACCTTGGCCGGTTCACCGACAAAGCCCAGATCGACGACGCGCTCTATGTTGCTGTCGGGATCCCTGACGGTCTTCTGCGCCTTTTCGGCGAAGACCAGATTGCCGTCCTTGCCGCACAGGCCGATCGCCCAGGCCCCTTGCGCGTTGATCAGCGCGACGATCTCCTTGTTGATCGAGCCGGCGAGCACCATCTCGACGATCTCGACGGTCTTCTCGTCGGTGACGCGCAGGCCGCCCTCGAAGGTCGATTCGATGCCCATCCGGTCGAGCATGGCACCGATCTGAGGCCCGCCCCCGTGAACGACGACAGGGTTGACGCCGGACTGTTTGAGAAGCGCGATGTCCTGGGCGAACGCCTTGCCGAGCGCCGCATCGCCCATGGCGTGGCCGCCATATTTGACGACCACCATCTTGCCCGCATAGCGCTGCATATAGGGCAGCGCATCGGCGAGGATCGCCGCCTCGGTGGCGGGGGTCGAAATGTCTTTGGAGGCCATGGCGGACGCCCTTGAATGTGGTCGGAGCCCTCATAAACCCCTCGCCCGCATAAGAAAAGGCGCGGGACGGATCCCGCGCCTTCGATTGTGCAGGCCGACCGTGTCAGACGGCGATCTTGCCGCCGCCCTGCTTGGTCACGACAACCACGGACGGACGCGGCGGCATGGCCGGATCGAAGTCGGGCCAGCGGGTCGCCGGGTCCTCGAAGGTCGAATCCTTGGCAAAGCCCACCAGATCCTTCGTGCCGTCCGTGCCGGGATGCTGGACTGCGAGGAACAGCGTTTCCGCATCGTCGGTGAAGTAGGGGCCGCACAGTTCGCCGCCGACAGGGCAGCGGAAGAACAGTTTGGAGTGGCCGCGCAGTTCGCCTTCGGTCTCAAGGCTGTAGAGCCCGTCCGACTTGCCGGTCTTGGCCCAGTTCGATCCCTGGTCGGTGGAAATCCACAGACGGCCGTCGGCGTCGATGGCGCAGTTGTCGGGCGAACCGAACCAGCCATGTTCGGAGGTTTCCGGGTGCCATTGGGCGCCCACCTCGGCGATCGAGG